ATGAAATAGCGGACCAAATCAAGCCTTTATAGTAGTGAGGTATCGAAAATCGAAGTGGTTTATTAAAGTGCTTTAAGTGTAAAATACTTAAATACACCATCTCGACCTATTACCTGGTCAGAAAGTGCCTAAATCAACACTGGTAGGGTTCTGACTGTTTTCAAGTATTAATATTATAATTCATTTTTCTTTCACTTACTAAAGAAAAACCTTACGCCTGTAAAAGCTTATTTAACCTGCGCTACCTATTTTACCTAGAAAACACGTAAATTAGGACATTTTCCTTGCCTTGAAATGGGCGGTATTTCAATATTATCGACAGTAAAAGTGCCCATAGTCAATATCAGACTAACAAACGTTTTTTCATCCAATTCTCACACCTTTAACTGAAAACCAATCTTTCCGGATTTCCCCGGTATAACACGTGTTTAAAGATTCTCGAATTAAAGCTGGACTGACTAGATATAAACATCCAACTATTTCATTGTAACGAAACGTATTCACATTGCAATTTGAACAGTGTATCTAGTTAGCTGTGTTCTTTATTAAGGTGTGTAGTTTTAGTTATGACCTATGCAGGAAGTTTGCTTTGATCGGAAGGTCCCCTAGTGGGTCAGCGATAAGTTTACTTCCAATGCTAAAATCCGTGGTAGTCTGAGCTCAGAGAATCTATTGTGTAGCTTTGTGTTAAAACAAAACACGTTGATCAGAAGTTAATATTAATGATTGGAATTCCCCAAAACAAGTTTTGTTATTACTGAATGATATATAAAATAGAAATAAATAATCAAAATATTTTTACTTTTTAATGCAAAGAAATTTAATAATTAATTTTTTGATAAGTATTAAGTAAAACATTGTAATGCATTGCTGTTATAATTAATTTGTTGATTTTCAGACACAGATACCTTTATTTCTAAAATATATACTTAAGTAAATGCAACAAGTAATTTTTTCTCTCTTAGACTGAACAAGAACTCACTCTGCCATTCGCTTCTATTCTGGCCAGTTTGGGTCACTTATACAAATCTGAAAGTCGGTACTCTCTTGCCGTGACCTGCTTTACTTTAGCCCTAGAGGTAAGACGCCATCTGCAGGGATCCCATGAAAACGTAATTATTAACTGTTTTTAAGCTATCTAAATTAACTGTTCCACTTTTCTCCAGCCTCGTATTCTGAGCCTTCTAACTTCTTTATCATTCGACCCCCCCAAAAAACCCTCTGATTCCCCCTTGTGTCTTACACTCTCATAAATACTTCACTTCTTATCATTCTAAGTCTTCTCAATTCCCAGTTTACGATCCTTATTACATTACTTCCACGATCACATGCTTATTTGATCTTTGAATTCCACCCCAAAGTTCCATATTTAAGATAAATTTAAATAATTTGTTATCACCGGCCTTCATTGTTCCATATTTAGCGGTATGTCTGCGGACTTACAACGCTAGAAACCGGGTTTCGATACCCGTGGTGGGCAGAGCACAGATAGCCCTTGTGTAGCTTTGTGCATAATTAAAAACAAACAAACAAACCATATTTATGGTCTTTCAAACCAGCGTTTTTCTAAACTGTTGATCTCTCACAAAACTACTAATAAAGTTCCTGTAATTAACCAGCCAATTTCTCTAGTCACTGTATCTTTGAGAGGTGGATTAACACGTAAAAAAACAAACTACGAAAGTTGCTAAGTGACCAAACGAACCACGAGAAAGATTTTCACTAACAACAATAATTATAAAACATTGAATGAAAGTTACTGAAAAAAAAAGTAAATTGAAAAAAGGTGGTAAAAGCTCACGTGCTGTTGCCCTCAACTATAACTGTTGCCTATAACTATAACTGTTGCCCTCAACTAAGTAATCTATAAGTTTCTCTAGTTGTCACACATTATACCAAACTTTAAAATGTTTCACAAATACTTAAAATAAAATCTTATTGAAGAAATCTTCCCTGCTGTTTCCTTGTAAAAAACTTGTTGACTTAAAACCCGTGGTGGGCAGAGCTCAGATAGCCCATTCTGTTGCTTTGTGTTTAATTTCAAACACTGATGCAAAAATAAAGTATACAGAATGAATAAAGTTGGATGTCAGGGTTGTAAGTTTATGAAAACCACGAGTATCTTGTCTGACAAACATGTAAAATACCACTACGAGAAAACAAATTTTTTCTCAAACTCAAGACAGATATATCTTATACTGGATCAGGATTTTAAATATTGAATATTTTAAATATTCATGATCTTTGTCCTTTAACTCTAACAGGAAATACTCCAGATACCCGTGGTGGGCACGGCACAGATAGCCCATTGTGTAGCTTTGTATTAATAACAGCCAACCATTCACATACGCACAAGTGCGCTATTTCACAATTAAGGCCATATTCTCAGAAATATGTGACGTCACACTTCCTGTAAAACGACCATTTACCCCAGCTGAAAGAAAGGCCATTTTCCGAAAGCGCTCGAGTTATTCAAGTCCTGTAAAGTATTTTACTCGGGGCTTAGCTAGGCATACGCACGTGTAACGTTGACGTTTAAAGGATATGAATTTTCTTTGATATAAAATCTTTTCTCCTAACAGAAGCTAGAAAAAAAATACCAGTGTAATTTTTACTATGATTTATGTCGCCTGTAACGTTATTTTTGTTTATATTACTCACATAAAAAGGTCATTAAAACCCGCCATTTCAGGTTTAAAATTCCACTAGGGGAAGGGGTGCCTTCTCACACAAATTTAGGGTTAGTGCTCATATTTCTGCTAAATCACTATTTCTCTAAATCCCAAACCACAATAGGAAATGTGCACTGTGCTAACTCTACCTTTCCATAATTAAACAAACTTGACGAGGCTTGAGAACAAAGGAACTCGATCATCTATGAACTTTGTTATGGTGGTGCCATCTATTTGAACAATACCTAACCATTTTGTAAAACTTATCCGAAAATATTCCTTTTTATTACTATTGCTTAACTCAGCTATATCTTCTCGATTAGAGATGCTTGTTATAGGTCAGAGGAAGGAAGAAATTATTTGAGCTGGGTTTTGCATCGAGATTAATTTTTTGAATTATAAAATCTCTGTGTTCTAATAATATTGTGAAGTTAATTATTTATCGATCAGCAACAACATTTGATTTTTTGGAGCATGAAAAACACTTCTAGCATAGCTCTTTACTTTGATCTACTTATTTTGAAATTTAATTTTGTTCCAGCTCTAATAATTAATTTTAATAAATTTACTTCCGCCATGAATTTGAAAAAATCCAACATTATTGAAGACTGAAGAAGAGGTATTTACAAATGTTCAATATTTTATTGCTTTTATATTTTAATTTTCTTCTACAGGTGGCGCGACTTCTGAAACAGCTAAGCCTAACATACAGTGAAATGGGCGAAATAAAAAAAGCAAAGAAAAATTTGTTTCAAGCAATTATCATTGAAAAAAGAATTAAAAAAAAGAAAGGTAGAATTACAAATAAAGCTTTTTTTCATTGCATTGTATAACTTTCAAACTAAAAGGATTTAGTAAGGTAAAAAATTTCTTATATTATTTAACAAAACAAAACAACCAAAAACGAACAGCTTTTATGTTCAGTTTGATTGTATTTTTATGTATATTTTTCACGATACACCTTAAAATTCTTCAGAAAGGTATATTTTGTTGTAATATAAGAGTTTAGAAAATTAATAACGCCAACAGGCAGTATTCGAATCTTCAACTCGCCATACCAGGCAGAATTTTCACACAACTAAGCTGTATGAGCTACTTGGAGCTGCAACACGATGATCTCCTGGTAAGTGTAACATTCGGTTCTCTCTGGAAGGAGAGATGATCTCCTGGGAATTGCATCATTCGGTTCTCTCTGGAAGGAGAGATGATCTTCTGGGAAGTGCAACATTCGGTTCTCTCTGGAAGGAGAGATGATCTTCTGGGAAGTGCAACATTCGGTGAAAGACTAATTGTTGTGTGTTTCTTTAGTGGTTGTGATTATCCCAACAGTCGTCAGGTAAGGACTAGTGAAAAAGGAATTGTTGTGATTATCCCAACAGTCATCATGTAAGGACGGGTGAAAGAGAAATTGTTATGATTATTCCAACAGTCATCAGGTAAGGACTAGTGAAAAAGGAATTGTTGTGATTATCCCAACAGTCATCATGTAAGGACGGGTGAAAGAGGAATTGTTATGATTATCCCAACAGTCGTCAGGTAAGGACTAGTGAAAGAGGAATTGTTATGATTATCCCAACAGTCGTCAGGTAAGGACTAGTGAAAGAGGAATTGTTATGATTATCCCAACAGTCGTCAGGTAAGGACTGGTGAAAGAGGAATTGTTGTGTGTTTGTTTAGTGGTTTTAATTCAAAACTTCTGTTGCTTATATTAGCTTTAGTTCCGATCTTTAAGTTTTAACTGACACCATGTTAATGTTAACCACCTAGATAGTGTTAGCTATGAGTTTGACATCATGAGATTGAGAATAGACTAAACGTGGTTTTAACTGCATCTGATAGTGTTTTTACGAGATACGACGAAAAAGCCCGATTAAGGTTCCCAGTGAGATGTAAACTAGAAATATTATTATCCTAGATATGGTGAGTAATGTTTTAAAATCGACGCTCGTGTGAATACCAATAATGTCCTGATTATGTCTATTTTACAGGTTGAAACTGCAAGATAAACCCAGAGCTCTGAATGCTGAAGACTTATCACTGGTGTAAATATTTCAATAACTATATATTCACTAATTTAGAAACTGTGTGGAGCAAGCTTACCTATCGCCTATATACATGTTTTACAACATTAAAATCATGTAAAATTATAAGTCCTGAATTGAAAGTAAAACTTACACTTAAACCCACTGATTGTTTGTTTGGTGAATTTCGCACAAAGTTACTCAATGGTCGACCCTAATTTTCAAATTATAGACTGGAAGGAAGGTGGCTAATCAAGAGAACCCACATTTGTCTGATTGATCATTGGGATTTGACCGTCAATCTTACACGCACCCAGGGTCCCAAAGTGCGGAGCGTGTTTTTGCGGAAACAATGTTCCAATTTTAAATTCTCGGATTTAAAGTCCGTCACATTAACCGCTAGGCTACACTCGCGCCATCCCCCACTGATTGATAAATGCTGCTACAGAAACTTTATTTTAGGTTATAAAATTTAAAATATTGAAAATATAAACAAATGTTTGAAATATAAGTGATAATTCTGTAACACACAAAGCTAGTCTATTAGGCTTTCAATGTTGCGATTTGAGAATCTGAAATTAACATGATAAAATATTGATAACAGCGAGGGTAACCAACTGATAAATCATTGTATATTTATCATCATACGTGTTTGCTTTATGTTCAATTATTTACTGGGTTAATTTTTAGTTTTGCTTTTGATAGGTAGTTTGATTTGATCAGAAGTTATTGATAATTTATTAAACCTTTTTTGAATACAGATGAGTTTATATTTCAATTTATGTTCATGGATTTCTAGTAAAGATAACACAGGAGTTTCAACTCTCGCCCTTCCTAATTTGTGAGAAAACTTAATAATATAAATCCACAAAGTAACATATATGAATAATTTAAACACTTAAAAAATGTCACTGTCGTATAAATCAAACCATCAGCTAATACAATTATTGTAACTATACAAATGTAATTATTTACTGGCACCTCACTCATATTAAAAAATTCCAGTCAACATTTTTTTAAGCCTAATAGCAACAACACCCCCACTTTCGTTAAATCTCATAGCAACGACACCAACAACACTAACAAAGAGAAAGCATAGCTAAATAACGATTTTTTATTACAGATGAAGCGTAAGAAAATACTACATTATTCAAACACTTGAAACACAATGTTTTCATATTACTTTTCATAGATTGATTATTTTCTTTTATTAGGCAATCTGTTGTTATAATTTGTTATACACATGGTAACTAAAAATAATGATTTGTGACTGAAGTTAACGCAGCAACAAACTATTGTGTTTTTAAAGGCAATATCTTACTTAGTTCTAAAGTTATAAACATATTTTTTACCATATTTTTGACATTTAAAAATATGAACATGTTTCCAGGTCAGATTAGCCAAAGAAACAGAGCATGCGCAGTATGAACTAGTACGTTTACAGCCTCAACTACAGAAAGTAACTGTGACGATAATATTTTAAAAGTATAAATACAAGAAAACTGAAAAAATTAGAATAATTACTTTTAATTTTAACAATAACAATAAAAATTAGTTGACTTTAAAATTTTGTATCATTATATCCAAATGTTGAACTTGTATCGTTCATGAGTCGCCATGTTTGGTGATGAGTTATTGACAGAAGTTTGGGACATTGTTGGCCAATCAGATCACACATAGGTGGCATGCTGGTTTTTTTTTTCGAAACTGAAAAAAATAATGGAAATACAAAATCACACTCTAGTTTTCTGTTTCTCGTTATTTTAAAAGTGGTTTATCTAGAGAAAAATATAAGTCACGTTAAGCCTCTTGCTTCTCGTTATCTTATAAGCCTCACAGATGAAATTGAGAACGAACTCTTTCATAATTTTTAAGTTAATAGACATATTCTTCAACTTAATGCCCCCCAGTGGCACAGCGGTATATCTGCGGACTTAC